AATTTGTGTTTGTTTGAAAAATAATAAAAAAAGAAAACTCTTGTTGTAATCTAGCAAAGTGAAAGTAAGACATTCATGGAATGTGAATGCCACTAACGATGAGACTTGATCAGCCATGAAGAGGTAGCTACTTCAGTTAATCAGCACAGGAGCTCTGTACAGAACAACTGATTAGTATATAGAGGGAAAGAAATATCAAGCTGGCACCATCTTGAGTTCACTGAGGCAAGGAAAGGCCTGTAAAATGACAAATATAAAAAAGGCGCACTTTCGGAAGAGGTAGCAGAATCGGCCCGCTGCCGATCCTCTCAATATTAACTGCTCTGGATTTTGCTGTAACTGCTTACTGTCGATTCATATTCATTATGTGCATTTTCAGGTAAGATTTGTTTAATATTGCCATTTAATATTCGTGCTTTCCTTTATTATTGTCTTCTTCTTTTACTGCTGGTTTCCCAGCTATATCTCCCAATAATTCTCTTCCATAAATCTCAATGTCCCTTAGAGAGTCTCTTTACCGTATCCAGTCATCTCCTTCACTAATATCTTCTGAGCGTAGGCAACAAAACATATTAAAATTCTAAAGGCGTCGCTAAACTGAGCGCAGCGACTATCAAATCAAAAATTAAATTATGAACAGTTTCTTAGAAAATACAACTAATAATTCTTCATAGTGTTGCAATATCAGCACAAAAGACGATGCAAAATAATGTTGGCGTGGCTTAAGATTTCTCCACCAGTTCCAAAAATTTTTGCTGAAGATAGTAGAACTTATTGTGTGCAGTAAGTAAACTAAGGCAGTAGATAATCCAAAAGCCGAAATGCAAATCCTACTCGACATTTGCCTAAAAAATTTCACGAGTAGCTTTACTTTTTTCAGACTTCGTCAAAGAATTGCAAGCGAATAAAAGTGCTACTTTGGATTTGCACTTTATTTTTTCATTTAAACGTCTAATTTCCCTGTGCCGTCGAAGGTAGTAACAAAACTTGTATCCAAAACTAGTAAAATTCCATCATCGTCTTTCAACTCCCCACAAGTGCTGCAATGAAATCCCTAAAAAACGTTTCAACTTTTGGAAGACTTAACGGCACAGAATTTGCGATGCGGTGCTGCTAGGTTGTCTGTGCAACATTACCCCTGCACAATCAAAATGAAAACAACCTGCCAAATATAACGGATAATTACCTTCTACACGTTTGCATGCGATTTCCCGAGCAGCGACACAATCAACAGTTGTTCCACAGTGAAACGCATAATAATTCAGCTGTTCTGTCCCAACACTGGTACCAGCTTCATTATCAAATACTTCGCGACCGTAAGACAAAGAAATTTTACAATTTAAAAGACAGCAACTGCAGACCCAACATGCATCAAAGTTGGAAACTCCCATACGAGACTCATAAACTTCAACAGGAGATAAGGAGCCAAACATCACGAACTTGTGCTTTCCACTGGAGGAGTCAGCAAAGAATCCATTTTTTGATCCACAAATCCCTTGACGACCAGCAATCAAATTAACCCGAGATCGTGTGTCCAACCCTTGACTACATCTTATGATCCAAAGGCATTAAGAAATGCCAAAAAAACTACGGGAGACAACAATTATGAACACCATTTCCTCAAATCAGTACGGTGACCACACAAAAATAAGGCCAATTTTAGGGCCATTTTATTGTGGCAACTAGCTATAACAAACGTCTCATAAATGCTGTTTGGAACTTCCTACGACAATCACAACCGTATAAGAAGAAAGACATGTAGGACACTTCAAAAACAAATGAAGGGAGGTAAAACATAACAAATTGTTGCCTGAACGAGGCAAGGTTAGAGGACTGTTTACAAGTAACGCAAAGGCAACCAGTTTAGTAGATATGAAGAATCTTTCGTAAAAAAACCTTACATTCAAAAACCTACTTGCATAAATTAATATCAATAAAAATATCAGATCATCTAGAATGTGAGCAAATATATCCAATATTAAGTGCACAGAAAAAGCAATGGTCTATTCAACTTTCCAATACTAGCTTAAAAAATAACAAATACAAACTAAATTATGCTTCACAAATACCTATTACACTTCCTCAACAACAAAAAAAAAA